GCACAATGGAGGACCTTCTTAGAGCAACACCAGAGGCACTCCAAGTGGCCAGATACTGGTTAAAGGACATTTAATAGAATATCAAGTCTGCAAAATTTGTGTTTTGTTTGATTGTTGTTTTTTAATGCAATATAACTGTTTGGTTTGCTCTTGACACGACAAATAAATAGCTGGTAGACCATCTGCTTTGTGGCAAAGTAAGGACTGCTCTGAAACAGCACTGCTATTCACTGCACCCTAAATAGGACCACATATTTTATTTATTTATTTATTATTCAAACTTATATGCCGCCACTCCCCTGGGGCTTGGAGTGGCTTACAAGAACAGGCTAAAATCGAACAACAATTTAAAAACAATTTAAAAACAATAATATCAAATATCAAGGGCCTGTCGCAACATATATGTCTTACATGCCCTGCGGAAAGCTGATGAGTCCCACAAGGCATGGACTTCAGGTGGCAGAGTATTCCAGAGTGATGGTGCCACTGCTGTAAAGGCTCTGCGTCTGGTTGCTGTTAGACGCAAGGTCTTGACACTGGGAATTTCCAACAAATCTTGGTCTTCTGAATGGAGGGATCTCTGGAGTTGGTAGGGGGTGAGGCGGTCCCTCAGGTACATCGGCCCCAGACCATGCAAGGCCTTAAAGGTGAGTACCATCACTTTGAAAGTGATCCGGTGCTCAATTGGTAACCAATGCAGCTGTAGTAAGATTGGTGTTATGTGGCATCTCATCAGAATTCCCGCAAGAAGCCGAGTGACTGTACTGACGACTTGGCTTGGGTAATGTGATGATGATGTTTTTACTGTACTTATATTTTAATCTGTAATGATGATGCACTGTGTTGTTTTTTTATATTATTGTATTTGAACACATGTTGTGAACCGGTCTGAGTCCCTCGTTCGAGGTGAGAAGACCGGTATATAAAACTAAATAAATAAATAAGAAGTCGAGCAGCTGCATTTTGTACCAACTTGAGCTTCCGGATCACCGACAGAGGAAGGCCAATGTAGAGGGCGTTACAGTAGTCCAGTCTTGAGATGACTGTGGCCTGGATCACCGTAGCTAGGTCGTCCCTGGACAGGTAGGGGGCCAGCCGTCTAGCCTGCCGCAGATGAAAGAAGGCGGTTCTGCTCACGGCGGAGACCTGGGCCTCCATCGTCAGCAGAGGGTCCAAAAGGACTCCCAGACTCTTTACCAATGATGACGGGCATAACGCCTCGCCATCCAGGGTGCCAGCTCATCCCCTGTTTGGATATCAGCCAGCATGTCAATGACTTAAATCAAGAAATAGTTTTCTAAGATCTACAGAGACACTCGCTGGAACACCTCAGCAAGCGAGAGTCCAAAAGTGGCAGGCTCAAACACAGAACCTCAACCAATGGCTGATACCAAATGAGAGACTCCCCCCTGGGCACACAGAAGACTGGGCGACTTGGAAGGCGCTGAACAGACTGCGCTCTGGCACCACGAGATGCAGAGCCAACCAAGAAATGGGGCCACAAAGTGGAATCCACGACATGCGAGTGTGGAGAAGAGCAAACCACTGACCACCTGCTGCAATGCAACCTGAGCCCTGCCACATGCACAATGGAGGACTTCTTGCAGCAACACCAGAAGCACTCCAAGAGGCCAGATACTGGTCAAAGGACATTTAATCAACTACCAAACTCACACATTTTGTATTTTCTCTGTTTGTTTGCTTTGTTCTGTTAGAAATGTAATATAATTGACTGGCTGCCCTGACACGAGAAATAAATAAATCCAGGGTATGACGGCTGGGAGGGGGGGGGGGTGTCTCAACAGAAGTTTATAGCTGTGAAAATGCCTTGGCAAACAAAAATGCATTTCTTACACTGGCTAAAAATCATTGCTTATCAAGACATAGAGCTCTGCACACTTTATATGTAGTACAATGTATGACTATCAGAGTACTAACAAATACACTTATGTACGCAGATGATGTCCAACTCTATCACTCCTTTCCACCTGCTACTAAGGAGGTTGTTCAAGTCCTGAACCGGTGCTTGGCCGCTGTAACGGACTGGATGAGGGACAACAGATTGAAACTAAATCCAGACAAGACAGAGGTACTCCTGGTCAGTCGTAAGGCCGAACAGGGTATGGGGTTACAGCCTGTGCTGGACGGGGTCACATTCCCCCTAAAGGCGCAGGTTCGCAGTCTGGGAGTTCTCCTAGACTCATCGCTGAGCCTGGAGCCCCAGGTCTCGGCGGTGGTCAGGGGAGCTTTTGCACAACTAAAACTTGTGCGCCAACTGCACCTGTACCTTGGGAAGTCTGACTTGGCCATGGTGGTCCATGCTTTGTTTACATCCCGTTTAGATTACTGCAACGCTCTTTACGTGGGGTTGCCTCTGAAGACTGCCCGGAAGCTGCAGCTAGTCCAACGCTCGGCAGCCAGACTACTAACGGGTGCTGGGTAACGGGTGCTGGGTACAGCTCCACTGGCTGCCAATTAGCTTCCAAGCACAATTCAAAGTGCTGGTGTTAACCTATAAAAGCTCCACTGGCTGCCAATTAGCTTCCGAGCACAATTCAAAGTGCTGGTGTTAACCTATAAAGCCCTAAACGACTCCGGCCCTGTTTACCTCTCCGAATGTATTCTCCCCTATGAACCATCAAGATTATTAAGATCATCTGGAGAGGCCCTGCTCTCGGTCCCACCGGCCTCACAAGCGCCTGGTGGGGACGAGGGACAGGGTCTTCTTGGTGGTGGCCTCACAACTCTGGAACTCTCTCCCACCGGAGATCAGAACCGCCCCTTCTATCCTGACATTTAGGAAACAGGTGAAGACGTGGTTATGGAGACAGGCTTTCGATGAGTGAGACAACACCCTAAGATATGGATGGAAGATGATGTATAATTGATTTTAGTATGACGACTGACCACTGTAGTTTTGAATATATTTGTTGTTTTAATGTGTTATTGTAATATGAACTATGATGTTTTACCGATTGTATGTGTTTTTATGGTTGGAAACCGGTCTGAGTCCCTCAAAAGAGGTGAGAAGGTCGGTATATAAAACTTTGAAATATAAGTAATAAATGGAATGGAGTTAAATCATTACAGACAAGAGAAATAGAAGAAATAATTAGGAACATGAATAAAATAAAAATAGAAAAATATAATGAATTAGAAAAAAAGATGATATTAAGATGGTATAGAACTCCTGAACAATTGGCTTATATGTTAAAAGGAAAGAATTCGAAGTGTTGGCATTGTAATAAAGAAAAAGGTACTTATTCACATATGTGGTGGGAGTGTTCTGAAATAAAAAAATTCTGGCAAATGATACAAGGAAAAATTCAGGAGATATTCCAGATAAGAATTCAAATTAATAATGATTTGCTACTTTGGGGAGTGTTGGATCATCCGAGTATAATAATTAATTGCCAGGAGTTATTTAAGGTAACAATAAGAGCAGCCCATGCAGTGATTGCCAGAGGATGGAAAGACAAATCGAAATGGACGTTAACTAATTGGAATGACTAAAATGATCAAGGGTCTGGAGAACAAGCCCTATGAGGAGCGGCTTAAGGAACTGGGCATGTTTAGCCTGAAGAAGAGAAGGCTGAGAGGAGATATGATAGCCATGTATAAATATGTGAGAGGAAGCCACAGGGAGGAGGGAGCAAGCTTGTTTTCTGCTTCTGGAGACTAGGACGCGGAACAATGGCTTCAAACTACAAGAGAGGAGATTCCATCTGAACATTAGGAAGAACTTCCTGACTGTGAGAGCCGTTCAGCAGTGGAACTCTCTGCCCCAGAGTGTGGTGGAGTCTCCTTCTTTGGAAGCTTTTAAACAGAGGCTGGATGGCCATCTGTCAGGGGTGATTTGAATGCAATATTCCTGCTTCTTGGCAGGGGGTTGGACTGGATGGCCCATGAGGTCTCTTCCAACTCTTTGATTCTATGATTCTATGATTATATGTACGATCAAGTGCTGTTAGACATTACAGGAATTATGACCAAGCAAACACCAAGAATGGACAAAGAAAAGATCATTACAAATAGATGGAAGGTCTACTTCAACTGGGTGAAAAATGGAGGAGCCAACAATCACATCAAAGAAAAAACACAAAGACTCTACCAGTGGCTGGATCTGCAAGATTAGCTAGAAATATACTGTGGCTGAAGAGGGAGGGAGGGGGAAGGAGGGAAGGTGGAGATAAGGTAATATACACCAGTGTAAATTAGTATAATATCTTTAATATATGTTGAATTATTCAGGTTTTATATGTGTAACACTTGGAATTTGGCTTACTGATCTGTGTGTATAATATAATAAAAATATCTTTAAAAAATACAAAACTTTGAAATAAATTAATAATAATAATAATAATAATAATAATAATAATAATAATAATAATAATACATGTATTAAATCAGTCTGAAAGATGATGGTCAAATTATCATTCAGAGTTATATTTGATACCAGCATGAAAAAAAAATATTTTTACTGAAAAAGCAACTGTCTTGACATTTCCCCACCACTTCTTTCCTCCATCCCCTCAAAATCTTGGTTTAATCTTAACTGTCTACTACTTTAACAGCATCGAACTGCTCTTTCTACAACACAAATCACATCATAATATTCATTCTCTGGCTCTGTAACAATCACCTTGGGCACTGTGGAGCAGAGACTGACAAGCTCAGAATATCAGCACACTCGGCAGAGCAGAATGGGAGGAAAGGGGAGCCCAAGAGTCAAATATGCTACCAACAACCCCCACCCTATCGTGCTTGCCCCCGCCCTGGATACACACTTGTTATTCTCAGCTTTGAATATCATCGCGAGAGCAGATATCACACACAAAGGAGCAGAAAAATATCCTAGGTCAAGAACTGAGACACATAACAACAGCTACAATGAAAACATCCTTTCACCTCGTTCCTTAAATATTTCATACGTACAACAGATAAAACTCAATTTTTTTGGAAAAAATGTTAGCAGCCGTAATGAAAACTAAATTGCCTACCATTTTCTTTGCACTCTTCAGGGGGTTTAGCCTTTTTCGCAAGTCGTGGATCCAGCCATGATGTTGTCTTTGTGTTATGGCTGAAAAGGAAAGAGATTACCCTGATCAGACACATACCGAATGGAATCAAATTATTCCTTCCGATGCCGTAGAAGAGGGAGGCGAGAGTTTAGTGTGACAAAATCGCAATTCATATACTTAATTTGCTTACAGATTCCAAGTAGACCTGAAGGAGGTGTAAGAGTAATTGAGTAAGGCAGCCTCGAAATTTGGCAGCCTCTGTTCCTTGTCCTCAAAGCTGCTATTTTTATTAAAATCAACTTGAATGTTGCCAAGTTAACCTCATTGAAAATGCAGAGCTCATCCAGGGCAAAAGGAATTTACAGCGTTCCCAACTGAAAGAGGGTGCAGCCTCCAGCGTTCTATACCCTTTTCTTGGAGCTTAGGTATAGAATGTATTTTAATCCTAACACACTCACACATACACACACATTTCCGAAAAACCAGCCTGGCAGAAAGAAATGCAAATTTCAGCATGCCTTTGCATAGTCAGTTTTCTAACAGGATGATTAATGACACTTTGATTAACCGAATGTTATCGCTTCCATATCTAATCAGCTCCCATGATAAAAGTATATTTTACAGAAGCAGGACCCAATCTACCGAGGCAAGGATAGCCCTTCTCACCCATGAATCAGCAATAGGACACCAGAATAATCACACCTCAGATAAATTCAATTAATTTCTCATCTTTCTCCTGGCATTGGAGTCAAAGCAGCTTATGTATATACTTTAAAGCCTGCAAACTTTTGGTGACCCCAGGAATTTCATAGGGTTTTCTTAGACAAGGAATACTCAAGAAATTGTTTTATCCATTTTTCTTTTGAAATATTTATTTTATTTATTTCATATACTTGGGAAGTCAAACTTGGCCACGGTGGTCCATGCTCTTGTTACATCTAGGATAGACTACTGCAACGCACTCTACGTGGGGTTGCCTTTGAAGACTGCTCGGAATCATAGAATCATAGAATCAAAGAGTTGGAAGAGACCTCATGGGCCATCCAGTACAACCCCCTGCCAAGAAGCAGGAATATTGCATTCAAATCACCCCTGACAGATGGCCATCCAGCCTCTGTTTAAAAGCTTCCAAAGAAGGAGCCTCCACCACACTCCGGGGCAGAGAGTTCCACTGCTGAACGGCTCTCACAGTCAGGAAGTTCTTCCTCATGTTCAGATGGAATCTTCTCTCTTGTAGTTTGAAGCCATTGTTCCGCGTCCTAGTCTCCAGGGAAGCAGAAAACAAGCTTGCTCCCTCCTCCCTGTGGCTTCCTCTCACATATTTATACATGGCTATCATATCTCCGGTGGCGCAGTGGGTTAAAGCACTGAGCTGCTGAGCTTGTTGATCGAAAGGTCGCAGGTTCGATTCCGGGGAGCGGCGTGAGCTTCCGCTGTCAGCCCTAGCTTCTGCCAACCTAGCAGTTTGAAAACATGCAAATGTGAGTAGATCAATAGGTACCGCTCCGGCGGGAAGGTAACGGCCCTCCATGCAGTCATGCCGGCCACATGACCTTGGAGGTGTCTACGGACAACGCTGGCTCTTCGGCTTAGAAATGGAGATGAGCACCACACCCCAGAGTCAGACATGACTGGACTTAATGTCAGGGGACTACCTTTACCTTTACTATCATGTCTCCTCTCAGCCTTCTCTTCTTCAGGCTAAACATGCCCAGCTCCTTAAGCCGCTCCTCATAGGGCTTGTTCTCCAGACCCTTGATCATTTTAGGCGCCCTCCTCTGGACACATTCCATAGTCACCTACAGATGTGAGAGCTGGACCATAGGGAAGGCTGAGTGAAGGAAGATAGATGCTTTGAACTGTGGTGCTGGAGGAAAGTTCTGAGAGTGCCTTGGACTGCGAGAAGATCCAACCAGTCCATACTTCAGGAAATAAAGCCCCACTGCTCATTGGAGGGAAGGATAGTAGAGGCCAAGATGAAGTACTTTGGCCACATCATGAGAAGAAAGGAAAGCTTAGAGAAGACAATGATGCTGGAGAAAATGGAAGGAAAAAGGAAGAGGGGCCGACCAAGAGCAAGATGGATGGATGGTATCCTTGAAGCAACTGGCTTGACTCTGAAGGAGCTGGGGGAGGTGATGGCCGAAAGGGCGCTCTGGTGTGGGCTGGTACATAAGGTCACAAAGAGTCGGAAGCGACTGAATGAATGAACAACAACAAAATGTAAAGGATGCATAACTTCTAGCATGCACACACACCTCCTTCCTCATTTTTCACACAAATACTGACAATCCTTTGTAATGTATGCATTATTTATTAAACATATCCTTGGAGGCTGCTTGCTTTGTACTGTTTACATATTGCTGAATTATTAAACTTTTTTATTTATGTAACATTTGCTGACTAATTCTTAAAAATACATTCAAGACAACTGTATAAAGGGCGGGGCTGACAGTAAATGATCAAGAAGCTCTATAAAAATGCAAATCCATGGCTACTATTGACTTATTTTCATGCCATGGGTGCTGGGACAGTATCGGTGGGGAGGGAGAAAAATGTCTTGTGTTTTAACCCTTTCTGTTTATTTTGGGAAAGGAATTTCCTCGTGCTATATTAAAAAAATGCAATGGACAAGTGTGTGAAGGAATAAACATCCTTTGATTAGTACAGCAGTCTGGATTCATGCTCACTTTTGTTTAGACTCAGAAGCACTGAAAGCCCATAGGACGAGTTAGTCATGACTAACAACTCCCACTGGTATCATTGCTTCTGTTCAAAACATATTTCCCACCTTTATTTTGGATTCAACCACCTTTGTATAACAAACTAGCTGTCCCCTGCCACGTGTTGCTGTGGCCCACTCTGGTGGTCATGGGGGTTCTGTGTGGGAGGTTTAGCACAATTCTATCTTTGGTGGGGTTCAGAATGCTCTGTGATTGTAGGTAAACTATAAATCCCAGCAACTACAACTCCCAAATATCAAGATTCTATTTTTCCCAAACTCCACCAGTCTTCACATTTGGGCATATTGAGTATTCGTGTAAAGTTTGGTCCAGATCCATCATTTACTGTGGCCGGGAGAGCTTTTGCACAATTAAAACTTGTGCACCAGCTGCGCCCGTACCTTGGGAAGTCTGATCTGGTCACAGTGGTCACATCCCGAATAGACTACTGCAACAAACTCTACATGGGGTTGCCCTTGAAGATGGTTCGGAAACTTCAACTGGTCCAGCGAGTGGCAGCCAGGCTGCTCACTGGAGCGACATACAGAGCGCATACCACCCCCCTGCTGTGTCAGCTCCACTGGCTGCCGGTTCAGTTCCGAGCCCAATTCAAGGTGCTGGTTTTGACCTACAAAACCCTGTACGGTTCCGGTCCAGAGTATCTGTCTGAACGTATCTCCCTCTACGTCCCACCATGGAATCTAAGATCATCTGAGGGGGCCCTGCTCTCGACCCCACCGCTTTCCCAAGTGAGGCTGGTGGGGACGAGGACCAGGGCCTTCTCAGTGGTGGCCCCTCACCTGTGGAACTCACTCCCGGCGGATATCAGGACATCGACATCACTCCTGTCCTTCAGGAGGAAAGTAAAGATGTGGTTGTGGGACCAGGCCTTCGGGCAATCTGCCAACTAAGTAAGGACAACCAGACAAATAGGACCGGCAGGACTGATAAATGTGGAAGGAAACCCTGAACTATGAGGTAGCGAATATTGACCGGCAATAAGGAGCAATTGGTTTGTATCGGTTTGTATGAAATTTTTATGGGTTTTATTGGTTATAGATATGATGTATTGTTGTTGTTTGCTATTTTGTGCTATTGTATTTTATTATTGTTGTATGTTACGGGCATCGAATTGTGCCTTGGATATGTAAGCCGCCCTGAGTCCCCTTCGGGGTGAGAAGGGCGGGGTAAAAGTAAACCAAATAATAATAATAATAATTGTTTGAGTCCACAGTGATCTCTGAATGTAGGTGAACTACAACTCCGAAACCAAAGGACACTGCCCACCAAACCCTTCCAGTATTTTCTGTTGGTCATGGGAGAACTGTGTACCAAGTTTGGTTCAATTCCATCGTTGTTGGGGTTCAGAATGCTCTTTGATTGCAGGTAAACTATAAATCCCAGCAACGACAATTCCCAAATGACAAAATCATTTTTTTGAGTGGACAACATAAATTGGACTGTTAGGTGTCTTGTGTCCAAATTTGGTGTCAATTCCCCCAGTGGTTTTTGAGTTCTGATGGTAGCACAAACTAACATTACATTTTTATTTATATAGATTATGGCATTTAATCTCTTCATCATATCAGATATTGAAAGGTCCTGAAATCACGGAGGAATCATAAGTCTTTGTCTATACTGCCTTCCTATTGTTGGAAGCAGAACAACCACTACGAATTCTTCTTCTTGGGAGGAGAAAACCACATTTGACCACATTTGTTCAAGTTCTGTGATGGTGCTTTCTCAACATAACTTCTGCTTGACAACAGCAAATATGTAAGTACTGGTAACTTTCTAACACCACCTGTTGATGCAGGTGTGTGTGTAAGTGTCATAAAATATATACAAACTTAGTATCTTTTATCCAAAATGTTTGAGGCCAGAAGTTTTTGGAAGTTTGGATTTATTTCTGATTTTGTAATACTTCAATATGCACACACACACACACACACACACACACACACACACACACACACACATATATATATATGCTCTGTGCATAATGAGTACCTTAAAAACAAAAGAACCAATGATCGAAATCACACCAAATTTGGCAACAAAACGTCTCACTACACAAGGAGTGACCATCACTCAAAACATTATGATTTTGTCATTTGGGAGTTGAAGTTGCTGGGATTTATAGTTCACCTACAATCAAAGACCATGCTGAACTCCACCAACGATGGAATTGAACCACACTTGGCACACAGAACTCCCATGACCAGCAGAAAATACTGAAAGGGTTTGGTGGGCATTGACCTTGAATTTTGGAGTTGTAGTTCTCCTACATCTAGAGAGCACTGTGGACTCAAACAATGATGGATCTGGACCAAACT